CCCCCCACCCACCATAGCCCAACCACATAGTGTTAGGTACCCCCCCATGTACCCTAATCACAACCCAACTCCCCAGGCACTGCCCCTCCCCAGTTGCGCATGGGACAGGGCAGACGCCACTCCCACCCTCCCATTGCTCTGAAACAGCTGCCCCATCATGGGAGTGTTTATTTGTGAATCGGAACTTTCTCCCTCCTCCAGCAGCTGGTTTTTAGTCCTGCAGCAAAGACGGACCCTTCTGTTCATGGCACCACAACGTAGCAGCTTGGACAGCACCCCGCACAGCCCCTCTCCTGGCTTCCCAACATGGTCACGCGGCCTGGGCACAGGCGGGAGACAGGGGGACAGCCCTGAAAAGATGATGAGCGAAGGCAGAGACAAATGCTGCCATCAGTTACACCAGGGAAAACCCAGGGCAAGTCTGTTCAGAGCTGTGGGAAGAACAGAATGTGGGTCACAAGCTAGGAACCCCCGTAGAGCTAAGCCATTGGAAAGTTTACCCCAGGACAGGAGTCCAGCTTCTAGTTTCTCTTCATACCAGTAAAAAGCAAAACCATTACAAAGCCGCGGCACTGTCCAGATAAATTACCAGACACAGCACATCAGTAACCCCCAGGAACAATGGAGGCAAGCGAGAAAGAGAGATACCACACTGCTACGTCGCCACCAGAACAGTCGTATTGTCCATTCTTCCCCAGCACAAAACAGTGCTGCAGAAAACACTATGAATGCAACGCAGCATGACCGTCCTCCCATCATCAGCTAAGCAATTACAGTGCTAGGTGCAGGGACCAGCCAGCACATCTTGCAGCGCCTGTAATTAACAATCCACTACCAAACCCAAGCATGGAGGTTTCCACTACACGTGCTTTTAGCTGACATGCAATACAGTTGCTTGAATAACGATGCAGTAAATTAAATCAGATTTGGTCTATGATCGTTCATCTATCCCAAGGTATATCCCCCCATGCCTGACCAGAGACTTTTGAATTGTACCTTAGGAAAAGAAAAAAAAGGATTAGCTTGAAACCCTGTAATTAGTATGTCCCGACTGGAAAGGAGATCAGGAGTGCTGCTATTTCTAGAGAACACACTGCCCCAAATTCTAGCTGGATTAGCAAGGAGGAGGATTTGAGAAAGCAAGATTTCTACCTGCCTCAGATATGAATGAGATGGAGACAGATTGGCTTGATAGATGCTATTTATTACTGCGGTGGACTCATGCAATCTACAAGTACACACTTGCCAGAGGGTTTTTTTTAATTGCAGTAAAATTTGTTAAAAATTGAAAGTACCTTTTCCTGGGTCTGGTTCTTTTTCCCTTTCTTTCCCTTCTTTGTTCTTTTTGCCCTTTCCTCTCCCTTTCCTCTTGTTCTCAGGCATTCTGGGCAGATCAAGTGTCTACAGTCTCAGTGAAAAAACAGTCCCCACCAGATCTAAATGCCCCACCACTGCTACGCCAAGCCTCACTTGCCAACTGCAACTTCCGACTGTTCTTATATTGTTTCTGACACAGGCAACACCCCCAACACTCCACGGGGTGGAGAAGCAAAACTTAACTATTTGCTTACTGCTGCCCCCGTTGTCAGACACCTAAAGAGAGGCAGGAATTATAGTGGGAAGGGAAGGAGAGGGAGAGCAGGGGAAACGCAGAGCTAATTTCACTCGGCTGCGATCAGAGCTGTCTTGACAATGTTAAATCCAGCTGCTTATATTTCCCTCACTGTGATTCTGCCTCTGGCCGGGCATACGGAACAGCTCCAAGAGGCAGCAGGATGTTACAGCCGTTTTTTCAGCTGGATTTTTTTTCTGTACCTGAGATCAAACAAAATGTAAATATAAGCCAAAGGCAGCAGCTCCCAGGAATGCGAGGCAGCATCGGGACTCAAGAGTCTCTCTGGGATGCTAACCCAGCATAGAATGGATGAGGACGGGTGGATGGAGGTGGCTTTACACGTACCACTTCCGTGGCCTTGGATCCTGGGACTGCCTGGGGACTAGCCCAGTTCCCTGCACAAGTCAGTGACCCAAAGGCTGCTCTAACACCCAGGAGCCATGGCAGAGTGAGAAATACCTACCGTGTCCTCCCCATTTCCCTTGAGAGTGGCCCAGGGACGAGATGGTTGTGTGATGTAGCCCAGATATGCTGCCTTAACACTCCTGGGGACTTCATGCCAGGAAAATCCCTAGCAGCCCATTAAACCTACTTCTCATCTCACAGATAACACCCAAAAGGACGAGCATGATCACCTCGTCTGACTTCCTGCACATCGCCGGTCCAGCCCAGAGCTGATCTTAGAAATTAGGAAAACCCAAACAAACAGCCCTCCGCTCTTCTGTCCGTGATCGTCCTTGCAAAGTCTTCTCCTGGTGCACGTGAACATGAAGTTGGATTTTATAACAGCACAGCCTGGCCCTTCAGGGTAGGTCTGCAGCTGGCCCACATCAGCAGACTCGGGCTCGCAGGGCTCCGGCTGACGGGCTGTTTAATAGCAGCATAGACGTATGGCACAGAAGTCACGGGAGGCAAAGCTCGGGGCCTGTCTGCTTGAGGAATCAGGGCAAGCCTTTTCACACTCTGGAATGCTGGTACATATAGGACTTTGCATGGACAATCACTTAACAGAAGAGCTGAGGGGCTGTTTGTTTGGTTTTTCCTAATTTCTAAGGTAAGCTACACATGCCTGTTTCTCCCTCCCTCCCTCATAAATTAGGGTCTAAACTACAGTTAAAAAGACATCAGCTTCTTCTGCAGGATGGGCCATGGGTTGCTTGCAGCTTTAAACTAGTGCAAATGGTGGATTCTTTGTCATTTTAAGTCTTTAAATCTTGCTTTGAGGGCTTCAGTTAAAGAGACACCATCTATATTGTATATGGCAGACTCTGGGGGGCGTGTTGGTGGGACTATGGCAAGAAATGTTTTCCAGAATTTTTTTTCAAGCCAATGAATAATCACAGATTTATTTATTTTTTAATTTCAACATTTTTCTCTTGCAAGGGTGAATGCGCATCCAAACCCCTGTGCACACAGGAAAGCCAGGGTACCAGATAGCAAAGGTGGATAAAAACAAAAATGAAAGGGTCCATCTTAGCCTCAGTGTCCTAGCCGTGGGAAATGCAAACAGCAAAAAAACCAGCATCCGTGGCACAAAACAAAATAGATCCGTGGACATTCTTGCAGTGTTAATGATCAACTCTGTGGCATGAATCAGAAATCACTCCCGGATATGAATTTTATCTTGGCAGGTACCGATCTTACATTCAGGTATGAATCTTGCTTTCACATCCAAATGGGCAAGCCCCTTGTACAGGCATCTGCGTATCTAGATCTAGTTGCAGGGTCAGGGCTAATAAAACCCCTTTACTGCTGAACAATCTGAATGCGCTTCTAATGACAACAAATGGTAAGGCCGTAATAATACTTCAGAACTCACATGGCTAGATTCGTGTGATGGAACATCCTTACTGCAAAGGAATTCAGATCTTGTGTATAGTACCTTATCTTATCTGCACAGGCTTTAATAGTTATGTTCTCACCAGTCACTTAATGGTTAGCTTGAAACGGCATTGAAGACTTACTTGTAAATGTTGTTGTCGTTTTCCATTGAACCTGTGACATACTTGGCAGTTATTTTCTACTCACTGCAGCCATCTTACCTTTAACAAAGGGAGGGGCTATAGAGCGGAATTATATCTAAACTGAATTGATCCATAGCTAAACTGCAGCCACTTCTGGGGTGAACTGTACCAGTGCCCTGTAACACTCCACAACAATAGCCAACGGTAGGACATAAGCAGCGGGTTCCAGCCCACAAAGGCTTATGCACAACAGGACTTGGCGTTGCTCTTGCTGAAACAGACTAACATGGCTTCTGGAGCCGGCTCTGAGCAAGGTTCTCTGACTTGTCCACACTGGGGCCATGTGTTATGGCTGGTTGGGGGCATACTCAAAGTTGGCAACAGTGGGAAATACTTGCAGGGTTTCCTGAAGGTGCCCAACGCTGCGGCTCCCGGCCCGTATCTTCCTACATCGCAATGGTGAGCGAGGTGCAGCCAGTCACCAGTTACCCTCCACTCAAACTCTACCAAGCACCGGAGAGGAGAGAAATAAAGAGCTGTAATAACCAGTCTCTCTCTTGGCCCTGTCTCCTTATGTGCATTGAACAGAGCGGGGGCAAGCCAGGGGACAGACCCTCCCACACAAGAACCCTTGGAGCCAAGTCACTGAAGAGCAACCTTGCCTGCTGTCTGCAGAACGACCCCAAGCCTGTGACGGGCAGTACTGAGACAGAGATGCCCTCCTGCCAACCCCAGGTCTGTCCCCAGAAGGACCAGGGTCAAGGGGATCTGAGCCAGCTAGGTACTCAGAGTTGTCTCGGTCTACAATCCTACCCTACAGATGGCTCAATCCTGGATGGGCCAACGACTGGATTGTCAGTCGCAGGTGACACTTGCAGGGACGGCTGCGCCGCAGCTTCCTTTAGAGATGCTGGCAATCCCTGCACCATTTCACTCCTCCCTGCATCGTTTCACTCCTCCCTGCATCGTTTCACTCCACCCGTTCTGAGTGCTCAGAAACATGCAGCGCTGGCTTGTCTCCAATAAGTTCCAGCTGACCAACACCTGGCCTCCACTTGGAGCGCAAATGGAACGTTGCCGTCCCCGTATCTGCCGCCTGCAGGCCTTGTGGCGCTTAGCGCGAGGCTACCCATGCGTGCGAAGACAGTGCCGAGACACGCGGGTTCTTCTCAACGACGGATAAGGGAACTCCGGCTCAGCCGGAGCATAGTCCCCCCGTGGAGCCAAACAGGGAGTAGCTCCCGCTCTCTCTCTGCATGGGACAGTTTACCAGAGGCAATCTTTCTCCAGTCCTTCTTCAAGCGCCATGTCTGAGAGCAAGGCCTTGTTTACAAGTGAAACTGGACCAGTTTAATTCAGTTTGGAAACTGATTCAGTTCAATTGGTGCAGCCTGTGCACATAGATAATCACTTGCTATTGATTTAGCTGGACTCGATCCCTACCAGCTTAGCCCTCCTCTCCCTCCGAGTGCCCTCTAGTTTCCCCTGTTCGTTCCTCAGAGAGCTTAGCGAGCTTTGCGCTTTCCTTCCAAACGATCTTCCCTGGTTTGTGTCCCCACTTCACCCCTACTGCAGTCACCTGAACAACGTATACGGGAAGCAAATCAACGGAGCCCTGGCTGGCCCAGAGCCCAACAACCGGTCGGGCTGACCCGAGAGCCAGTGGGTTGCAAATCCCAGGCCTTCTTGTGTGTCCTTGATATGTTGGTGCAGCTGCTATGGCCAAGCACACTGCAGCCTGCTCCAGAGAAAGCGGGAATTTACCTTCAGCAGTGTTTACACTTAGGTGATAGCAACGTGGCCTCTCTCCCACGGCCCTAGGGGCCAGCCTTCATGCTGAGGGCTGCAAGCCGGCATAGGCCCTGCGTAGGCTCACGGACTGAGCCTGAAGCAAGAGATGCATTGCAAGGCTTGAGCTGCCTTGGGAGCAAGACAACCCTCAGCTAGTGCAGCACGGCCGGCCTGGCTGCAGCGCTGCCTCCCCTCGCCCGGCCCCACGCGCACCCCAGGTGAGCTGCAATCTGAGGCCGGGCGGTGCTCTCCCATGCCAGCGGACCGAGTTCTGCAGGGCCCTGCCTTGGGCCAACCCACAGGCTATGGTGAGGCGCTCGCTTGTCGCGGTGGCACGTGTCAGATTCCGTAGCCAGGCAGCCCGGCCAGAGAGAAAGCAGGTTTGCTCCCAGCATGCCGCCCCGCCCCGCCCGCAATGCATGAACATGCCAAACACCGCCAAGCCCAGCGAGCTGAGGGTGGCAGCACACGGAGGAAGTGGGGGGGAGTGGGACTAGGTAAAGGAAGGTCCATTCTGCAATCTAGAGCCTCTGCCTTCCAACGACCCCATTGTCCAGGAGCCACAGGTCAGGTCTGCCTGTGAGTCGCCTCAGGAGTGCAGCGTGGCACGTACATCTCGGGGGGCAGCAGGTTTCTCGGCACAGACTTCAACGGGATCCACGCACCCTGCAGTTCTGGCGCCACGTGCTGCCTGCATTCTTCCAGCGGGCCCCACGGCTATCGCAGAGTGACGCAGCGTTGGGACATGGGAGCGAGGACCCGGCTCCGAGCAGAAGAGGAATGGCCGTGTCTAGGAGCTTCGGAGGAGGGGGGTGTGACGTAGTGGGGGTACCTGGCTGGTTTCTATGCTGCTGGCTCTGGGGGACCCCCCACTGGCTGCTGTGGGTACCACGACCCAGCAAAACAGGATGAGTCACTATGCAAACCAGTGGCCAGCCACCCCCCATGGAGAGGAACAAAGGAAGGTGGAATGCTGCCTTGGCTGGGGGGCAGGGCTGGAAGTGAGGGAGTTGGTTGCTGGCTGTCGGAGGGCATGGATGAGACAGCCTAGGGAGAGGAGCTGGAGTTTAGGGGCCCAGTCTCCCCCATCTCAAGGGGGCCTGAGGCATCCTAGCCCAGTTCCTGTGACCAGATTACATCTGTGCTGCGCTGTGCTGGAGGAGCAATAAACCACCCTCAATTCCACTGGCTGGGGCAGTCTGTTTGTGCCATTTCAGGGTGCAGGAGACGGGGACCCCCCAACGTGCCGTCACACTGGTGTCAGAAGTGGGATGCACTGCACCCCGTGGATGAAGCTCCCAGCGGCAAGCGACAAGGCGCAGTAGAAGCAAGAGCCCTGGAGCCAGGCGTGCTGGAGACAGAGCGAAGCGGTTCCTGGGAATCGTGGGGCGCTGCAGCACTAGACTGGTGAGTCTGCACCGAGGGGCCCAGCGGGCAGATGGCCTACGCCCGACTCTTGAAGGCAGAGCTGGTGGGGCTGTGCAGAGAGAGGGGCTTGCCGGTGCAGAAAGCAACCAAGGCCCAGCTGATTACCCAGCTGGAAGAGAATGCCCAGCCACAGGGCCAGGATCTTGTCCCCAGGGAAAGCAGCCAGACCCCCCCTGAGAGTGTGTCAGGCTCAGAGAGGGGGAGGAGCGCTGGAACCCACCGGAGAGATGAGACAGCGTCTCCCGGGAGGCCTGCAAGCCGTAGCCCATCTAGGGCAGGGGCCAGCCAAGCGGAGCTGCGGCGGCTGGAGATCCAGCTGCGGATCAGGGAATTGGAAGTAGAGGACCGAGAGAAGGAGCGCCAGGACCGGGGACTTTCCAGGGTTAACTGGCTGGGGCGGGAGGAAGGGCAGGCTGCCCCAGAGGCAGGGGCTGGCAGGCAAACCTCAGCTCAGAGAGAGGGGAAGGATGCTCAGTGCACCTCCCCTGGGAGGTCTGATTCTCAGGAGGCGGATTTCTCCGTGTACCGGGTGGGGGCAGGACGGCCCCTGCGGAGCGAGTGCCTCATACCCCTGGAGGTGGATGGTAGGAAGGTGACGGGCTTCTGGGACACGGGGGCGGAGGGGACTCTGGCCCGATCTGACAT